CCCCCCCCCCCCCCCCCAATTATATATATGTTTATAAAAAAACAACAGGAAATGTTGAGACACTGTAAAGTACAATTATGCATTAGCCCATGATGTCCTTCAAGTTCTCTCTGGGATATTAACTAATAGTTTTATTAAGTGATGAAATCTAGTATTCTGTGTGCAATCTGTGGTGTGGGAAAATCTTGTCAGCATTGAGTAAGTATGACTGTTCAGCACATAGCTGTAATTTAATCAAGCCTCTGTGGTAAAGTGCTTCAGTGTAGTTTTATGTATAAGGAGCATAAAAGGTAAGACTGGAACAATTTCACGTTAAAGCTCTGGGTTAGAATGTGATATTTATATCTGAACACTTATGAAGTTTGGAAGATTATCCACATTTCTGATGTAATCATTCAAAACTTCTGTATAGTTCATTATTCTGTTTCCTTCTGAACTGCTCACTCAGTTTCTGGTTACAAAAGATAAATTTAAGAATGGTACTTAAGTGGTACTTAAAAGTGAATGACAAAGAAACAGTGGGTTATCAGGTATTTCTGTCCTCTGTTTGGTTTGTGTTAATGACTTGTGTTCTGCTAAATTCACCAAGTTAATAGTTATGATCCTGAACTACTTGGTGGGAAATTGGTTCTGTATCTAAAGCTACACAAAATATACCACATGTGCTTTAAGCACTGAAGTCCTATTGAGTATATTTCTCTATTTTAAGGCATAGATCTGAATCAAAGAACCTATTGATACATATGGCAAGCAATTTACTTTCTAAAGAATGAACGTTCTTCAATATTGAGTGACTGATGTGCATCTTTCTAAAACAAAGTGATGCAGTGGAACAGTCAATAATGGTTTTGAGCTTAGATTCATGGCTCTTAGTGCATACAGGGACCTGTAGTGACAATTGCAGTGTTCAGTTAATTAATTCCAGGTATTTTGTGTCCTATTGGTACATAACCAAGGGAAATTACTTTTAAAATTACAACAGTTGTGTTCTTAATTCTGAAAGATACTGACAACAGTGATTGCAGTAGCTGCATTATTTCCTTTTTAAATGGGGGTTAACTAGAAGAAGCAGTTCTGACTAGAGTCTTGTTTAACTATGGCTGCTGAATGCTATTGGTTTAGTTCCTCTTACAGGGAGTGTAGTTGAAAGCTCTTTCTTGGTCACATCCAGCTGAAGGAGATCAAATACAAGACCAGCAAGATTCTGCACGTTACAGCAAGAGAAGCAACTAGTGGATTTGCAGCTGGTTGGGTGGTTTTTTGAGATCCTCTACATAGGAAAACACTTTACATTTTAGGATTTGGTTTTCACTTCTTATACTTTGCAGCAAAATTTTCATTTTTTAAGGCAAAGAAGAGAGAAAGACAAATGAACCAAACATTTTCATATGACTAGAGAATTTCCTCACTTGTGACTTTAAAAGCCAAAACTTTGTGGTAAAACAAGGTAGTTTCTCATTCTTTACTATGTATGGTGTCTTTAACACAGGTAAATATAAGGTAGTTATGCTTTTTTGAAGTAGTTTGTGTTGGCCTGCAATGTGTGACTAGTTTTGTAAACAGTTTAGAAGTAGCTACTATCATGGAAAGAATTGATCCCTATTTTAAGGTTAAAAAGCAACCCTTTACAAGTATGTGTTGTTCAGTATGAATGGAAAGGGGAAAGAAAAAAATCTTAGATAAAAAATTTTAGATATTTTTTAAAACAATATTCCCTGTGTTTGTTTTGAATAGAAATGTGGGTTTTTTCCTGTCAAATGATTCTCAGCCTTACAAAAGCTGGAATAAAATAACACTTTTGTAGCTAGAAATACTAATAAATAGTTTATTACCTTCAAGAAGAATTCACAAAGTAATCATATATTAGAGGCTGTTATTCAGAAGATGCCAAATTTGAGAGGAATGAGAAAGGAAAAAAAAAAAAAAGTCTATGTTGGAGGTGAGTTATTTTTAAGAACCTGGCTGATTCAGAAACATGTTATGAAACCTGACTTTTATTGGTTTCTTATATCATAAATTTGTTTTTGAAGATTGAATGAAGTGCTTTGAACTGAGAGATAAGCAGAATAATAGGCTTGTGGTACATAGCTTGGGTTCCAGCCCTTTTGCCATTTTTCATATTTTAGAAACATATTTTATTACTAATAAGAAAAAAAATTACAGATGACTACTAGGATTCTTCCTACAAGTTTTCATTTACAGTATTTTCTAAAGCTTAGAAGAGAAGGAAAGTTTCCCTAATTTTGTTACTTTATTTTACAGAACTTGCTCTGCACCTTTCATTTTGAAAATACATTCCAGCTAAATATCTAAAATTAGTAAGGGCATAGGCAAATGGTTCAATTTGAAAGGGACACATAAAATTTGTATGGATGCATAGTGGCTTTTTCTTTACTCTTTTATTCATGAAGCCAGCTACCTCCAGCTTCCACCGAGAGCCAGGTTCGCTATGCACAGACCTTCTATGCATCGAATTGTATGCCCACCATTACCAGTGTAGTTATTACTGTAATGTTTAGTTTACATACCTGAGGTAGTCGATATTCCACTGAATGATTAACCACTTCTTAGACATTAATGTAATAGGAACTTAGAAGCTTTCAAAAGTGATTTGAGAGAGTTCAGGTTTTGGATGCATATGTTTGTCAGATAAAAGGTGTGTGTTGAGGGAGCATTTTTTCTTCTAGCTCTTAGAATCAGTGCATTTAAAAGATGAGTACCTGAAAGTTAAAAGGCACGAGGGGTGTTACCTGTTCTTTGAACAATCCAGGCCAACATTGTAGCATGACTAATATTGCTGATTAATGATCTGAAAATAATTTGTATATAGCTGCGACTTAACAACTAAATCTGGCAGCAGTATGTGTTGTCAGACAGAATATCTATGCTGTCAAAAAAAACCCAGGAGAAATGTCTGGGTGAGCCTGACTGGAGTGTACAGAATTCACATAGCAGATCAGGCAGTGCAGTGCTCAGTCCCAGGCCATGTCCTGTATGCTCACTGCGCAGGGAGAAAGGGAAGACCTTAAGTGAAAACCTGGTTATGCGTGTAATATGGTTATATGGTTCTTTGTCATAGTTCACGTATTTTTTGCAGGGTAAAGATTAACAGGCTGTATTGTACCATACTGCACAGAATCTAGATGCTGTTTTGTCTCAACTTTTAAAAGTATTTAAACCTTCTTGCTAGACTGTATGTCCTTAATTGTGTAAATAATAAAAATGGAAGAAATGTGACCACCATTTTCTATTCTCCATCTCGTGCTTCATCACCCAGCCAAGCCTCCATCAGGGGTTTGGTTTGGCTTTGATTTTGGGGTTTGTTTGCATTTTGTGATTACTTTTACTTTGTTTGCTTTTTGACCTTTTGTATTTGTACAAAATGTGTAACATGTCTCTTTTCAAGCTGTCACTCTGCTTTTAGCTGCCCGCTGATTCATTCTATGCATTTTATAGCCAAACACTTTCAATTTTTGGAGTCTTGCTGGAAATAATACAGGTAATGTTTCAGACCAGTATTGGAGCAGGTTTACAAATGGCCAGATATACCTTAATAAGCAGATGGCCAACGTTAAGGATACTCAATTTAGAGACATTCTCATATTGGTATCTGAGAACTTCTTTGACAAGAAAGCAGCTAACCCTTGACATCTTTTGAAATTGAAAACAGCCACTGCCTGAAAGCACTTATTTTCACAATACTTTGCCTCTAAAATTTTCTCTTAATTGGATAACCAATACTATGTAGGGAAGGTCATCCCTATCTCAAACGAAATGCCATCCCATTGCATTTTTCTTATTTTCTTTTAAAACAAAATTGCTTCGAAATATTTTCACCTGTCCCTAGTGTTTCAAACTGGGCCACTTCAACTCAGTATTGTTTGGGTTTCAAAAGTATTACTACAGATACTTACCTATATATTAATTTAAGGAGTTTTGTGTATTGTTTTCATAATGCTTTAAAACTTTTTTCTTTTTGAATAACTCTTAGGAAATGGCGAAGATTCTCAGTCATCCAAGAGTATATGCTTTTCTGCACATACCGGTCCAGTCTGCCTCCGACAGTGTGCTCATGGACATGAAAAGAGAATACTGCGTGGCAGACTTCAAACAAGTGGTAGATTTCCTTAAAAAAAAGTAAGTCTAATAATATTTGAGAAAATAACAGTGTTGGGTTTTTTGCAATGTCAAGAACATGTGGCTGAAAACACAATTACTTGCAACTTCATAATTAAGGTATGAAAAAGAATGAGCTGCTTTAAGCTCTCAAAGTCTTTGAGTTTTCTTTAAGCCCCTTGATGTGGTTTGCCCCTTTGCTTGAGCTTTTATAAGCATCTTAAATCTCTGCATGACATGCTTTTAATTTGTCAATATATTCCTAATCTTTTTCAAATAATACGTTCTTAAATTATTTCTTAAACTACTATATATAGACTGCTTGAAGTTGAAGTTATTGAAGTCCTCTTTAATGTGGCTTTTGAGCACTGTGTACTTTGTGCACTGGAGATGATCCAGCTCCAGCAAATGTGAGTGGGTTGTTTGTGTTGTGTTTTGTTGGTTTTTTTTTTTATAAGTATTTTATGTCCTGTAGCTGATGCACATTTACATCAGTATAGTAATAATCTAATCTTACTTATGGGACTGATGATTTCTAGGATAATTCAAAAATTATTTCCCTTAAAAGGAGAGCTAATGGTCAGAAATAAAAGTGTATCATAATGTGTTTACTTGTGCTGACCAGAAGATGAGTGCTACATTACCTACAAAGCTTTTGTAACTGAAAGTGATAATTTAATATCCAAGGAAGTATTTTCATAGCTTTTAAAATGTAATAGTGACATATTTTGATGAATATTTCTGCACCGATTGTCCTAAAAATAGGGATCTGGAGAATTATTTCTGTCACCTTGCTTGGCTACTTTCTCTCTTATTCTGCTTTGCTTTTTTTTGTTTTGTTTTGTTTGTGTGTGTGCTTGTTTTAATGAATTAAGGGCAGTGGAGTTTGTACCTTTGACTCTTTAATTGCATTAAATACTTGTACACAAAAGAATCAACTATTCATCATAATTTTCATGTTCATTGAAAAATACATCATTCTAGCTATGTAAAACATGTCATGCAAGAGCTGCATGGGAATTATATGTAAGAAGGTAAAGCAAATTGTTACTATTTTGCAAACTATGTGTAGTTTATAGGATACTCCTATGCATCTAGGACAACTGATGGAAATGGAGCTGCTTGTCTTCATACAAGTTGATTGGTCATTAATTTCTACCCTCAACAGTGCACATGAATTCTTGGCACTTCATTTTCATGTGACTATGGGTCAGTGTTAGTTTTTAATTAACAGATATATTGTATTCCCATGTATCTTAAGTGGGAACTGTGTCAGTTTATGTCTTAGTTGACTTGAAGCTGATTCATTATTCTCTTCAGTAGTTTTAGCATTGGCAGCTATTATCATAACAGCAGCTGGATTTTCGATAACCTACTATAGCTGGCACATGTTGGGGCATATGGGAATTTATTAAATCATTCAGCTCTTGCACACAGAAAAGAATGAATTACTTAATATCCAAATTTAAAACAGCTGGTCATTGAATATACAGTAATCTGTGACATACGTCTTTTTCCATGGGCTTTTTTGTAATGCACTTAACAAGGAAGAAATAATTGGTTTGATGTCTTAATTTTAAATAATAATAACCTTTATTTATCCTGCTTATTAAGAAACTACCAAATTATCTCGTAGTTCCTGTTAGAAAACAATCTCCAAATATTAAGATGGAAAATTCTTTGTACCATATGGCAGCAGGATGAGGAAGCTATGCAAAGCAGAGAAAATGTTTTGGATATTTGAACATGTGCACATCTGTAAAATGAATTTTTTTTTTTCACTTAAAAGCATAGTGTCTTCATTTGTAGTCTCTTCTCTTATGGCAGCAGCCAGCTATTACATTCCCATACAGATATTCCCATAAAGATCTCAGTACAAAGTTTGCCAGGACTTAACAATGCTGCAGACAACTCCAGAGCCAGTATAGCTAATATTAAATATGTGTTTGAACTACTTAAATAGCCAAAAGGGATTATTTCCATCTTCCATTTATCAAAAAGGAAAAATAAAACAAGTAGAACCCCTTATATCTCCTTTCTCTATTGCTAGGGTCATAAAGTCATCTAGGAGCTTCCTATGCAAAATGTACAGGGTCTTAGCAGTAGATTCCAAATGGCGCTTTCATCTCTAAAACATGACATCTGCTTTGATAGTATCTTCACTTAAAACTCTATTAAACCAATAATTGTATAGGCTGACTTGCTGTAGGAGTAAAGCCACCATCAAGAAATTATATGGTTATCAGTTAAGCGCTTAAAAACTTCAGTTCAAACACCTAAGCAAATAAAAATGAAGTACAGGAAGTGAAAAATGAAGGGAAAAAGGAAAAGAATGAGCCATCTCATCATTTTGGTTTTGGAACCCCAAAGATACCAGAGTGATTCCTGAATCTTTCTTTTCTCAGTCAGGCCAACAAAAGACTCTGGGACATTCTTCTCCCAGAATAAGGAGCAAATGCCTTTCCTTCCTCTGGAGAGCTGGGAGTGATTGCAGAGGTATCTCCTTCTGAGGGTGAGGATTTTTTTATATCCCGCTGAGTACAGAATGCCTTACAGAGAAGCTAGAATTCTCCAAAGTAATTACTTTTTGTGTTGAAACCCACTTTTAAAAGAATGGAGCATTCTAGTCCCTCTGAGACTGTGAAGTTAGACGTGTCACTTTTTTCTTGTCTTTGAGAACTCTTTCTTCAGGCAGGAACCCTAGAAATTAACTTTAAAAATTAACATTGATGCTCTAGTGCAGTCTTTTGATATGCAACACTGGGGTTTTTGAGCCACTCTCCCCAGCCAGGTTGATGACATTTTTGGTTTATTATGAAGATTATGAAAATGTATAGAATATAAAGTCAGAAACACAAATCCATGAGGCTGAAAAACTGAACTACAGAAGTCTTGTTCTATGCTTTTTTTAGAAACTCCTTCTTTGATATTTTGCACTTTTTTCGCACTGAAATTTCAGTAAATTCAAATATTCAGAAAAATACTGTTGTGCAGTTGATTGGTCAGTAGCTGATCTACAGATATTTGTGTATATATAGATTTATTTACTGAGGATTTATTTGAGAGAGCAATGGAGTAATGGAAATGAAGACGTGCTGATTAATTTAGAAGGTGGTCCTGTACAATTTATACATAGTCTGTAGGGACTAGGGACTACTGCCCTAGTCCATAGTCTTTAGGGACTAATACAGTCGTCTGGAGGGACTATTTGCAAGACTGATTCCTGCATGAGATATTAATTTCAATGTGTTTGCAACTAAATACAGGATCTTCAGAAATTGCTGCTTAGTGAATTTAATCCAGAGACCAATTTAGTCTTATATCAGAAAGTCTTTTAATTGTGGTGTCATTATATCAAAATTTTTCAATTGATCTCAACTTTCAAGATTCATCATAAATTATATTTCTGAAAGGTGATGTTTGTAGTTGCAAAAGGAGCAAGACTGCTTTAATTATCTCCAAGTTTTGAAACTTATTCCCTTAAAATTTACTTTTGCTGATAAAACCAAACAGTTTAGAATATATTTTGGTTAAAGAAACCTGGTATCTGAATGTCATATTCTGTAGTTGCTTGAATAATCAGTTATGGGAATATATATAACCATTAAAAAAATCCTTAGACTGATGATGTTTTCCAAATTTCTTGTTTGCTGTTGTTGATACTATATTCTCATAATATATTCTCTTACCTTTCTCGTTTGTGATTATGTTGTTCATCAAAGTTTATATAAACCTTTCCCTGTTACCGCCACTTGATAAGGGAATTGTAAAACAAAAATCTGGATGAATAAAAAAGTAGGGAAGTTGACAGCGAGGCTGAAACACTATGGCTTTCTGTTTTGGGAAACAGCATAATGCTGAGGAAAAGCTGGGTTTGTCTCCTCGTTTGTGTTCTGAGATAGAAGTGTAATATTAGTTGTGGGTGGCTGCTGCTGTTCACTTGAGATTGTCTCATAATTCATACTGGAAACTTCTGAGCTTTCCAGTATCATCTGAAAGCTGCCAGAGGGGAGAGCAGCAGATCTGTCAGGCAGAAAGTTATGGGTTTTGCACTATTTTTCTCTTCTCCTTTAAAATCAGACCTACTAGTAAGCCTGTCCTAGCCTCTTCTACTTTTAGTGGTAATCAAGTATTGATTTTTCAGCATATGTAGATACATAATTACATGCAGTTGGAAAAAGGAAATCAAGGACCAGAAGTAAATGAGTGCAGAGGAAAATAAACCACAAGATTGGAAGGGGATTAATCACTCGGGTGTGAACTCAAATCTTAGTTGCTCGGCAATTACAGACAACTGCTGAATGCCTGAAGATACTGTCCAAATTGAACGAAGGTGTTATATGGTCCTTTGGGACAGCTGTCTTCAGGGAGCCTCTCTTCTTCCCTGTTGCTTTACAAGGAGTCAAGCCAACAAACGGTAGCTTCAGCAGCTTCCTTGGCCACCTCTTAATTTTGTTTTTAAGGATTTGAGGGGATTCAGCAGGGACTGTGTTGTGTTTCTTTTGATCTGCCCTGACTTTTGTCTCTTTTGTTGCAGTGGCAGCCAGGCTGCATCTGCTCAGATGTTTAGACAGGCGGCTTCTGGGTAAAATAGTGTGACTGGGAGCAAAGTGGATTCAGCCACTGTGTCCTCCCAACTGTGCTGCATATCCACGTTAGTCTTTGTTTTTACAGCAATATTTGAGTGTCTGAATGAAACTATTCAGTCAGCTTTCTCAGTATGATTTTGTCCAGTATGTTTCAGTATGGCTGCTCTTGCCTTTCTGAGCAATTTCACAAGTAGTAATTTGTTTCCCAGGTTCAAGTCTTCTGTTGTGACCTTGTTCTTATTCTGGGCATTGTAACACATACCATAAAAGCTTATGTGGGCAATCAGCTGTTTATCATATTCTCTGTCTGTATTTATGATGTAAACTAGTATATTGCCATCCAGAAGTCTGCTTGAAAACTTCTCTGTTTCTCATAGCTATTTTTTGACTGATGAACAGGGAAGAAATACCTTCTCAAAAGCTTCTTTCTAT